AAAAAAAAAAAAAAAAAAAAATTTAAAAAAAAAAAAAAAAAAAAAAAAAAAAAAAAAAAAAAAAACTACGAATCTTTTAAATTTATCATTAAACTTTATTTTCTAATCAATACTTTTATTATCCTGTATTTGCTTGTAATATCTCAGTCCTTTGTAAGAATAAAGATTTGTAATACGTTATTGCTCCCCTTTGGCGACTTTGTATAACATTAGCGAGATGACAGGCCAATACAATTTTATAATCATCAATAATTTGGTTGATTCGATTTTGGTAAAAATCATTAAAATCATAATTTGTCATGCAATTGCATTATCTGCTGTGAAAGGATTAATTTTCAGAATGATAAAATTCACACTTACTTCGGGAAACCTCATTGTGCAAATACATAATAAAACCAAATATTAATGAAAAAAAAAATTATACACGGCGTTAAATTAGTTTATAAGATTCATTATGGCATAATATACAATGAGTTGGTTATGAAATTTATTGCGATCGGCACTCGGTATACTCTCCAACCCAAATCCCAATAGTTCTTTTCCCATTGAAATTAAATGAGAATAAATTATGAATTATCAGTTGATATTGAAAGTAATGGGGAAAAAAGATTTTCATAGGAGCCGTAATGAGAAGAACGTATTTTTGAGTTTTTACATTTATTCGTTATTATAGTGTAGACAATGAATATATAATAAATTAACCGACAGAGAGATGACATCGAATGGAAAGAATTTTTAAATTTCACTTATACGATGATTAGAACATTTTTCAATTTTTTTATGTACCACGTACTGCCGTATAAAATTCTTTCGCAATTTAAGTGAAACAAACACAAGTCGTTCAAAGAATTTAAACTATTTCATTATTTTTTTTTTATAAAATCGACGTACTCCGATTCTTTATTGATATTTTTTTGTTTCAACATTTGCATCTATCTCCTTTTAAATTTCTCATTTGTTAACCAAAGAGAGTATTAACATGTAAAAAAAAAAAAATTTATCTACGTGCGTATATTTATATAGCACGACCATACATACATAATGTAAATAATTTCATTTACATATTGGTCGAACTATTATATTCGTATTAATTTCTTTATTTTAGAGAGGATCGTTTAGTTGAAAGCTTAGACAACTATGTTTATTCAAAATTTTAATGAAATTCGAATG